ATTCATGCCCACTCTGCCTTTTCTTTGACCCACAGGCAAATTAAATTTGTAAAGATTTTAAAGTTCTAGCTGGAACTCAGTTAACCAATTGTAAACTTCTTAGCTTTTATCAGAATATAAACTCCCCCATGCCCCTTTTCTTTAAAGTAGTCTGAGCAAATAATCCTCTTCTGGCTCAAGCTCTCTAAAATATATTTTAATCCTTACTGTGTATATACTGACAGATAGTAGGATCCTGCATTAAAAATAAGTTGTTTTTACCCTTTAAGTTACCCTTTAAGTTACATGAAAATTACCTTTTAAGCTAGAAATTGATACACTCCCATCTATTCGCACTGAATCATGTGAATTTGAAAGGTACTCTGAGCTTCTATCAAGGCAGAGTGTGGACATTTTTTTCACCTTCAGTAAGCTTTCATAGAAATATTTGGAGAGGCGGGTGATGAAGAGAAAACCTTGGGAATATCCATGTGCTGAAGAAATGACATTATGTTACTGGAAACAAATAGACTCCAGGATAAATGGGAAGTCGAATATTGGTTTAGGATGCTTCTGTTGTATGGAAGGTGACTGTACCCTTGGCAGTGAAGGGACATAAAAATGAAAATGGAATTCTGGAGAGTTTTTGTTTTTTTTTTCCACTTGGTTTTTTTGATGCTAATAATGATAGAAGAACCACAAAAAAATTTAGATTAATGAGGTATGAATTTAGAGCTCCTGCCTGGTTTGCATAAAACCTTCATGTTCCAAATGCATTATAAAAATTATCTAGACTATCTGTGTCTACAAAATTTGAACTGGATATTTCCTTAGATCTGATTGTTTTTTCTGGAACCTAAACTTAAAGTACAGCTTAAGAGATCTGTGAATGACAGTGTGCAGAAAGAGAGGTTATGCAGGAAAAGATGTTGCATATCTTTCTCAATAACTAAGTCACAAAATGTTGCTGTATGCAATTGCCAGTTTGTTAAGCAGTACATTAGGGCCTGTGAGAGACAGGATTCTGGATGTCCTTCCCCAGAAACTTCCTGAAAATGTTATTTGTTATTTCTTCCATATATATATATAAATAATAATAATGATAAAAGCCTTATAATGTCCGTCAATCTTAGGTTTTTCTTTTGTTTCCTTGTGTATATTTTGTCTTTGTGCTTTTCTTAATTCAGATGTTCTGAGGCCCTACAGCTATGTATATGATTCTGAATATCTGAGGGATTTTCCAAGTGAACTGAGCAGAAGAATTTGCATTAGAGACTTTCTTATCAGAAAGTTATTTCAGCAAAGCATTTTTTTTCCCCTCAGAACTACTTCTGTTATTGTTTGGATTTCTTTCTTTCTTTTTTGTTCTGACAATATTAGAACTTAGTATTTTTAAATAAATTTGTTTCTTCTTTTTGGAATGACTTCTCATTTTGAAATCTATTTTTAGTTCCATAGTGAAACAGTGTTTCTAAAGTCAAATACTAACCATAACCCTAACCCTAACATTTTCCAAATGTCTTGAATCTTCAGGATCCTTGGACTCTGAATGGGTTGGAAAAACTTGTTTTCTTTACAAAGGTCTTAGACTATGACTTGCAAGACTGAATTTGTAAATTCACACTGTATATTTCTATTTCAAGGAATTTTAGCATGCTATTAATCAAATGCAACTTTAGACTGTATTGCCTTGCATTTTTGGGGGATTGCATTTCTTGGGTCATGCCCTGAATGCGTGTCACTTCAGGCAGTGTTGTCTTAGTGAAAATCAGGACACCAAACACAGTCTATGGACAAAACCAGCATGATTTGGGATGGTATCAGTGCTTTTATATTCCCACTGTTGCTGACAGGAAGTTTGTGAAGAGGTTGGCATTGAGCTGTCCATTGTTGTGATCAGCAGCATTTCAGCTGCATAAGGAAAGTTGCGGAAGTTCTTCTGTACAAGCTTATCATATTCTACACCAGAAGAGTCATAAGCAATCTTTATATTTCCTAACCTCAAACTGATGTTCATCAACATTCCATAATGAAAAAAGCACACAGTACGTGCCCAAAAGTTACTTTCTAAGTATGCTGTTGTCCCACATGGCACCTCCTAGTTATAAAGTGAATTCTCTTTGGAGTTTTACAGCACACCTACTTTTTTCCTCTCTGATTTGTTTTCTTGGCTCTCTTATTTTTCTTCTGTTGACAACATTTCTTCCCTTCGTACTTCTGTCTATACAATGAGAATTTTTCCACATTTGTTGTCCAAAAACTCATCTCACTGGGATTCTATTCCTCTTTATTTCTATTCTAATGAATTCAAAGGGAAGTATTTAAGTATTTATTTTTTGATATTCCCAAACGTTGTGAAAAGGTATTTATTTTTTGATATTCCCAAAAGTTGTGAAAAGGTTTTTCAGTTAAGTTGAGTCACAAAAGTGGCTGCCATTGATTCAGGTTTTTTCTTGCTGTTAAATGTGCTCTTGTTACATGGAAAGAGAATCTAATTTCTGGCGCCATAAAAATTACTGTTACTTTTAAGTGAAAGGTCAAATATATCGGTCACATGTTCTATCATTAAAGGACAGTACTGAGAAATCAGAGAGCAGCTGTGCTCCTGAACTTGCTCATTTTCTGTGCCACCGTAACCAGGACTGGGGTAGACTTTAAACTGTTCCAGAGGCTCTGAGCCCCAGCCAAGGTCTTGAAAAGCTGGCTGAATTATTCCTTTTAAATTGTGTTCTCGTCCCCAGATGACTTTTCACAGCGTTGGCTGGCAGTGGCAGGTGGGTGAGTGCCTAATCATGCAGCAGGGAAGAATCACAGGAAGAACTTTTCCATCTTTCATAGGCTGATATCTGAGAGTATGGGATAGCTGTTCCATTGCTTTAGGTAATCTGAATCTGGAAGGCTGGAACACTCTCCTTCGTAGCAACGAGATAACACATCCAAAGTGCTGTTTCCCCAAGCATAGGTGGTATTTCTTAACCTAGTTTGCATTTACATCTGTGAGTTGGAGGATATTTAATCAGCTTCAATTTCCTTGCTATTGTCAGGCAAATGCTCACCTTGGCAATTCTTCGTGTTTCTGTACAATCTCAGGTACAACCTAGAGACTTTGTAAATTTTGTAGGAGCGACAGCTTCATTTTTTGATATGTAAACGCTTTAAATGAGAAAAACTATTTTTTTCCAGCAACTGAAAAAAGTCTTTATGGGGCTTTTCTTGTACAGAGGGAGTAAGACTGGACTGTTCAACATCACTTTGTCATCTTTCTGGCCTGTTTATTTTTATGCCATTTTTGTAATAATTCAACGGGAATTTAGCATTTGCCAAAACAGTGATGTTCTTGAAATACCTGATGCTTCTATGTTAGTTAGTCATGGAAAATAACAGTGTTTTCTTTCTGCTCTTCTGTTGTCTATATTCTTTATCAACTGTACTCAAAAGGTTTGCCTTAACACTCTTACACTGAGGTAAGTAGACAAATGATTTCAGAAATGACAGTAATTCTTGAGGAAGAAACAGCATGAGTTTGGAGTGAACCTTAAACTAATGCCTTTGATTTACTAGTAATGCTTTCCTTTCAATAGTCGGTAGTGAAATACTTTACAGATATGTTGAAAGTTGGAAAAAAATATCACACAGACACAAGAATGAACAACAACAACAAAACCAACCAACCAAACAAAAAAGAAACAACTACAGCTGTCTGTGAAAAATTGGCTTCTTGGCTCCCATTGAATTTATACCTAGAAGTAGAACTGTGGTGGTCTGCTACAACTGATTCATTAAATCTTGTGCTGTTAGTCTTCAAATGGAAGCAAGAAATTGCAACCCTTCTTAGCAGATTTTCTGACCAAATATGGAGAGATTCTGTATATCACTCTGAGTACTTTAAGTTTGTGCTCTTAAAGAATGTATGCAGTTCATCTGATAGGCTGCCTGTATGCTTGAAAGAAAAAAAGAGAAAGGGTTTGCTGATCTTTCTCTCTGATGGCATATCTGCCTGTGTCTGTGTTCAGTGAGTAGGGCAAAACTCCCTTTATGTTTTCTTTAATGTTTTTTATATACTTACCAGCAGGCTTTTACAGTCTGCTTCCTGCCTTTCAGATTAAAAGAACACTGGCATATTTTAACAGTTTCATTGGATCCATTCATTAACAGTCTTTAATTAAAAGGGAATTAATGTTTTGGAGTGCAACCAAAACATAGAAAGTAATGAAAGCAGAGGACAGGCTTGAACCATTTTTGCTTTCAGATGCAAGGGGCAAATAAATAAGTAAAACAGTCTCAAACAAACAAGTAGTGGCTTATTGGTATACAAGATTATCTCTTTAGTTGTGTTTTTTTTTTTTTTTTTTTGCATTTCAGGGGTATTTCAGTGCAATCTGAACCTACTCCAGCTTTTGTGAGAGTAGAATGTGTATGTCAGGAGCATTCAAAACCCCAAATTTTGGTGGCAGCTCAACTTGTTTGTGTTTTAGGTTTGTATTGATCAACTGTTAAGGCAGCAAGTAGGTTGTTCTTGACAAGATTAAGCTTATTTGCCAAGGGTTTAATTAAATAAATCAAAAGTCTGCAAATGACAGTTTTGCTGAGCAAAACAACCTGTTATTGTCCTTTTCCTTCTGTAGTAGTTTGGCTGAGGAGGGTTGAATAATGGTTATGGGGAAAAGCACTGAAATTGTAAGTGAATGAGACTAGCTGAGTTCTAAAATGAAGTCAGATGTATTGAGCTACTGTTTCAGATAGTTCAGGGAGATAAATGGTTTAATGGCTAATTTTAAACAATAAAAAATGGATACCTGCAGTTCCTGGCAAAAAATTATGAACTACAGTCACTGAGTCAGCTGCACTCTTTCACAATAACAGTGATTTTTGTGGACAAATAAAAACGTATGTTTAATATTATTTATATTAATGTACCATAAATGTATGGTTAATATTATTTTTATTTTACTCTTGTATTTTTACTTAGTTATTATTATCATATTACTTGCTGAATGCCTTCTGTCTCTTTCTACATATAGGTGGTACATGCCAGAGTCCTGCTCTTCCAGCCCTAGTGCGTCCTCCTGCTCCACCTTTGCAGCCATCGCTGGATATTAAACCATTTCTCCCATTTCCTCTGGACACTGCAGCAGCAGTCAATCTCTTCCCCAACTTCAATGCAGTAAGTACAGTCCTAACAGTTACTGTCCACTTTCAGTGAGCCATGGTTTCCATAGAAGGCTCAAAAGGGCACAAAGTGGAGTTTTATGTACTCAGTTAAACCTGGAATATTCTCTCCCAGTACTGAGGGCCAAATAGCTCTTCCAGATACACTGGTAGACCATAAATTAGAACCTAGCTGAGTGTTAGCCAGAAATAATGTAGAAGGAAAAAATGATATGATCCCAAGTGACATGCAGTAACCTTGCAGGCTATATCCAGTCCCAGGCCTTGTGTTTCCCTCTCTATTTTAAGATGTGCAGTTTCCCTAGCACACACTTTGCTGTAAGTGTAAAATTGTAAGTTACTCTACATTCCATCTCCAACATGTTTCCCAAGAAATACCTAAAATTTGCACATCAGAAGAGAAAAATTTACTTTTTCTTTTATAACAGATAAAACTGATTGGGCAATTCAAGCATGCTTAGACAGTAGTAGCTGGTATAATAGCTATTTCATTGGCATACAATCTAGTGCATTTATTTTCAGATTAGAATATGTGGTTTTCGTATCCTTTAAGTTAATGCAAGGTTAGATTATTCTTCAAGAATTTCTTAACTTAGCCATACTTGCTGTGAATATACATGGAGTGCTCTGAAAGTCATGCCTCCTATTTATTTCCATAGAAACTATAACAGGTACAAAGAGCATAGTAACACTTGGGTAGAGCAAATTCTCAGCTACAAAACAATATTTTTCATCGTATTTACTCCTGTTAGCCTATTAGCGTATCTGAGCTGAATGAGAGACTTTCCATTTAATGGTGTGACAGCTGTTCATAGCCATGTAGAAAGTAGCTTGCCTTCCACTTCACTGTTACCACTACTGATATGCACCACCCACTGCTTCACTGTGCTCACGTGCACAGTTAGATCACCATAAACATTCACCAAATGTCAGTGAATGTCAATAGGTGCTGCTTTCTCTACATGGGAAAATTTAGTTTCACATCTCTGCTTCATAAATGCTTCCATGTCAGATATCATTCTGTCAGAGTGCCCCTCTGCTGCTATCTGTCACATGGCAACAAAATGTAATGGAATATTGGTAGGAAGGCTCAACCTCTACTGCCATACCACCCACATCTGCCCCTGATGATGTGGGCTGACATAATAGAATAGGAGGCACTACTTTTGGAGAAGCTCTTGGCAAAATCTGATTATTACTTCAAACGATTCTTTAATTAATTTTGTCTTTACAAAATTGCTACTTTTTAACTTCAAAATGCCGTAGGATTACCTTTTTTTCATTTACCTGTATTTTTTAGGGAAAAAAGAATAGGAATGTGTTTGCTTAACTGCTCTGAGAGAGGGGTGGAAATTGCTATGCCAAAACAATTCTAATTAACATATGAAAGCATCATAATTAAGAGCAGTGAAAGAACACACCCATCCTAGAAATAAAAAGAAGAATTAAATGTTAATTTCTTTACCTTTTTTGGATGCACATTTTGTAATTGAACTAAATGTGAAAAATTTTCTGCAAGCAATTGACAGTACTAATAAGAATGAGAACCTATAAACTCTGAGTTCTGAAATGTTCGGAAGGAATGCACTGAAGAATTACTATTACAAAGAAAGTATTTCCAATTTTAAAATGAAGATAGGCATGAAGTCATTTATAAAAAAAACCAAACAAGCAAAAACCTAAGTTAAAACATTGATAACATTACAAATTAGAATTTTTTAGTATGCTTTAGATATTTTTCTTACCAATTTTGATTTGTGATAATTGCCTATATTTAATGCCATAATCCAACTGAATTTTTATGGATACTATACTAGAAATTCTTTTCCAGGAGTTTCAGATGGCTTTGTGGTATGTTTAGTTCTGCATAATGAAAATGTGTTCTGATATTGCTTTAGAAATACGAAGGTAAAAACTGTCTCCTATCAAAACCCTGTTATACTTGAACATCATCTTAGAAGTATCTCCTTAGGTATAAGTGCCGTAGTTAGACTTCAGAGGCTCCTCATCTCTTAAATTTTTCAGTAACCTGAGCCTAAGTTTCAAGGATAAGACTAGCAGCATTTTTAAACAATGTTCTGAAGTGCATTCCCATGTGAAGCACTGCTTCCTGTGCTTTGTGGCCATCTGCCAAATTCACCTTTGCTGAGTATGTCTGTCCCAAGTGTGAGGATGCTGTCATCTGAGCTGCTGTCATCTGCTCAGATTCTTTGCCTTGCAATGTGACCTTTGCCTTCTCATCATGTATGCTGACATGCAGCATCACCCTCAGTGTTCCTATTTTCCTGTTGAACAGTACATTATTGAATGCTGCTATGTTTAGCTCATGTGCCAGAGCTGGTTAACAGCATCCTCCAAACATGTAGGCTAGTTAAGAAGTTCTGCATATTTCCAGAAATTCTTTCCAGGCTGATGAATCTTTGGGGATGCATCAGCTGCTGCTGGGCATTATCAGCCTAAGGAGAAGGTAACCCAAGGGCCATATTAGACTTTAAACAGAATGTCTGGCAATATCTTTAAGTATGTGAGTGTGAGACAGAAAAATGTTTAACCAAGAAGTGATCTGCCCTTGAACAGTTGTAGCTGTTAATAATATTCTGTATTCATTGACTTCACAGCTAAGTGGAGAAACTTTTGTATTTTTTTTTGCTAAATCAGATTAAACAGGTGGTCAGTAAATGACCAGAAATACAGAAACCTGAACTGGATGTTCTCTCTCATGTTGTGGATAAATGAGCTTTAGCTTTGGTTTGAGACATCAAGGCCATAGATAGTATGTTAGGAAATTGATTTCCTCTTTATTTTTCTGTATTTGTGCATAAGCTGATCTATTTGGTAGCATGTCTGAGCTATTTCCCAAGAAGCAAGAAGGAATTCCAGATTTCAGGCTATTTGCAGACCAAGCACACTTTTTAACAACTTTCCCTGGAGAAAAGCACTGATCAAAGAGAAACTGTAGTAAAAATGCAGTCATATTTCAGAGAAAGGAAGTTGTCCCTAGTTGTGGCAATTCTAACTCGACTTGGGAGTTCAGATGTAATTAGCACATACATCTGGGCTAATCAGCCCAAGTTTCTTTGGAAAAGGTAACAGAGAAAGACAATTTCTCCATTTGTTCAAGTGGACAAAAATGCACAGAATGCATCCACTCTGCGTCTCTACGTTTGGATGAGGGAAGTAAACTTAGAAAGTTCCCATTTATTGCTGTAAACTATGAGGGGCTGGCTCAGCTGCATCTATATTTGGTTAGTTGAATCTGATATTAGGGACAGGCCATAAGATATTCACATGTGATAAATTCCACTCTGAAATTATGTGACAGAAATGCTGACATTGTATGTTTACAGAGAAATGTTCCTATTTATCAAGCATTTATACTAGCTTCTAATTATATACTGTTAAACGACTTCGAGTATTCAGATGAGCTGGGAGTAGATATTAGGAGAGGTGAAAGCATGTAATTTACTTACTCAACTTTTCATATCAGTGGAAATTCTCTAAGGGCATATATGCAAGACCTAATACAAAAAAATACTTCCTTAAGTGCATCACCAAAAATAATAATAAGGTGTTAAGTTTCATAACGTTTTTCATTCTGGTTCAGTTTATTACAAATATAAGGTTATTTTGTTTTTTTACTAATGACTTTTAGTCTAGAGCAAGTTCTGTTTTTGGTGACTGTCTCTGAGGAAAATGTTCAGCATTTCTGAAGAGGGCAAAAACTTGCATCTAGGCAGAGAATAGAGGTGATAAAATGGGCTTTGAAATCTTTCCAAATAATGTCTCTGGGCACCAAGGAGGGGGGAAAGTAAAAAGTGAATAGCTTGAGAAATGCAGTGATAACCTGTGAAGTTTGAACCATTCAGTTTCATGAGGGACATTATCTATTTATACAGGAAAGCTTAAAGCAAGCGTACTCATTAACAATCTGGTTAGCTGAGCATTTGTAGATGCTACATTCTTAATTATGAAGCAAATGGTTACCCTTAAGTCCTATGTAAAAAGAAATTTTAACAACAGAGCTGTTCAAACTAAAAACAGCAAGCTGTTGTGCAGACCCTGAAGAATCACAAGTTCATTGCGAGTTTATCTGATATAAAAAGATGAATTAAGTGTATGAGATGTAAATAGATATGAATGAAAGAGTCTGACTAAAAACAATCTTTACGTAGCTTTCTAAGATGTACTCTGAAGGTCAGAGGACTAGAAAATTATTTTCCTATTCTGACAAATGTTTGAGATCATCTAGCAAACATGGAGTTTAAATCTACCTTTCCAACTGCAGAGAGAGAAGTTTTAAATCCATGCGTTTGTATGAACCAGTTTTTAGAGGTATGAAGCTTTTGCAATTATACTGAATATGTATTTGTGTGTGTGTGAATGTGAATGTGGTATTCTTGCTTGCAAGCCAAAGATTGGCTGCAAAAAATTCACAAAGCATCAAAGTCCAGAAGCTAATTAAGTTATAGGAAAACACTGATCTGAGTAGCTGGACTAAGAGAAAATATTTCATCCTACTAAATGCTAGTATCAGTTCTGTCTAACCTTCCTGCAGAAAAATAACTCACTCAATAAGATCTCAATTGTACCTCTTAGTCTCCAAAGTCCATCATTCTCAAAGCACAGATGCATCATCAAATAGGTTTTACTTCAGCTATTAAGCTCTCAGAATTATATATTTCAGCACCTTGACAGGCAGAATTTATAGCTTACAAATCCAGGATGTTACCAGCTGGAAAACTTGGCAGTGCATTGCTCTCCTTACTTGTTTGTCCTTTGAAGGATATGCTAACCATTTTCCTGGAAAAAAATCTAGAAATATTATGTCATGCATAGTAGATTATAACGACAGCAAGATCTGTAGTGGAAGAGGATAATAATGTAGAAGCTCTGAGTAAACACTTGTAAGTAGAAATAGTGACATTGCTTTAAAAGCTTCATACAAACTTCAGAATAAGGCCTGATCTCCTCTTTTTGCCAGCGGAAAACTTTACA